TCACCATCATCATCACCACCATCATAATGTTTTGTTTCCACTGCCCCAACCCCCTGCACCCCCAACCGAGGATCAACCCACCCAACTACAGATCAATCTGCTCACCAATCACTTGTAAGTATCTATGTGGGTGGATATGTGTATGTCTGTATGTGTTTGTAAGTGAGTGTGTGTGTGTTTGTCTGATTGTGTGTCTCTGTATGAGTCTTTATGCGCGTGTATGTGTGTGATGTGTGTGTGGTGTGTGTGTTTGTCTGAATGTGTGTGTCTGTGCATGTGTGTTTGTATGTGTGTGTATTTGTGTATGTGTTTGTGGTATGTGTGTTCGTCTGAATGTGTGTGTCTGTATCTGTGTGTTTGTGTGTGAACTGTGTTAATATAATGATATTGATGATTTTTCTTACAACAAAACAACGCCAATGGATATTATCTCCAACCTAACAAACATGAAAATCATCATAATTAAATTAAAAGCATTCATTCAAACGGAGATGGTGATGATTGTGAAACGTTGTAATGAACGTACCCCTAATTTGGTCAGTTTTTCCTGATATATTCTCAACTACGTCGAGCTTCATCCAACCAGGTTGCGCAAAACTTCTTGAATGGATTTCATGGAGACGTTTGATTCCTTTCTACCAGTACAAAACTTCAATATAGTTGGACAGTGAGATAGTGTAGTGGTTAAGAAACCTGCTTCTGCTGGTTCAGTGATATGGTTCAAAAGCATAAAGATCCACGCTTCACAAATGCAACATTCGATGCACCGAGAATCTTGCTCAGAATATTTTTAATAAAAAAAAACAAAATAATTCCGTATTTGTTAACTATTACATTTTGAAACGAAGATACTCCTGAACTTTTGAGAACCACACTGAACTGGCAAAAATTAAATTCATGATTTTAATTGAAAATTTGATCACCCTTGAAATTTCTTCAACTATTCTTAAAAATGGTTCAATGATATTTTGCAACCTGAATAGACCACAAAGTTGGAGGAACATTTGCTTGAACCATTCAAAATGATGGAAATAACATTTCATTGAGTAATGACTTGGTTGGACGTACCAAAGTTAACGAATGAACGAATGAACGAATGAACGAATGAACGAATGAACGAACGAACGAACGAACGAACGAACGAACGAACGAACGAATGAATGAATAAATGTTTCGAAGATGAAATCAACTTGACACAAATGCACTGAACGTTGAAGAACAGCTCGCCAAAGGATGTAAAGAAAGAGAGGCTGCCGACATAAATATTAACTTAAGGAAGGCGTAACAATGCCGAATGACTCTTTTATTGAAAACTTCCTAGCACCATACAAATGCCTCCCTCGAGATTCTTCAGAACGCCCGCTTATTAACTCAAGGCTCGCCTAATAAAATAATGCGCCTTGCAATTGTTTTCCTGCCTAGCTGGCTGCCTGGCTGGCTGGCTGGCTGGCGATGAGGATGTGCAGCATGCATTCTCTTCTGCAGTGCTTGCCTCCTTATTCCATCTCGTGCAAATGGTCGCATCAGTCACGATCTATAACATCAGTAGGTAAGCAGGTAATTTTTAAAAATTACGTTAAATTGTTTTTATTTTTCAAACGACAATTTATACGGATCCGCGCTATATGTGATTTTGTTTATAACAAAAATAAATACACCCATATGTGTGTGTGTTTTTGTGTGTGTTTTGGTCAGTTATTTGGTCAGAACCAAGACACCAAATTTGTTTCTATTTTATTTTTATTTGTTTTTAACTGAAATGTTGAATAAAAATCTGAACGGACCGTGAACTGTATGTAGCTTTCAACAAAGCAGCAAACAATCCCATGAACACATCATACCAGCTTACAACTATTTAGTTAGAAATTAATTAATTAATAATAAAAGTTTAATTAAATATTTAAACATTGATATAAGCTGTATAAACAAATGTTTAATAAAATATTTGTTTAAATGTTTATAAATTATGTGAACAAAGGCATAACCAAATAAACTTATCATTCGTATATTTCAATTTGTTCGTTCGTTTGTTCATCATATTTATCAATTTTTCGTTCATTTACTAGCTAATTAATTAATTTATTTATTAAGTGATTAATAATTGCATTCATTCTCACAGTTGAATATACATGCATGAGTTTTAATTTAAGTCAAACATCAACCATTTATATTAAAGAGCGAAATAATGAATTTAATTATGTTTGCAATTAAGCAGGATCCCAATGTAAGTAAGTGTGTTTAAACTTTTTAACGTCTGCAGTGACATCAAGTGTGGGGAGGCAACATTGGATTAAAGAAGTTGCAAAATTTATGATTGATCCAGTTCCTTCCAATTTGCAGTTGCAAATTTATTAACATTCTGAAATTATCTTCTAAAAATGTTGAAAGCCATCAAATTTTTGCATAACAAGCCCTAACAACATTTTATTTTTATGATTAATTAATGAATAATAGGCACAGGCTCAAGGCTGCAATATTTCTTTATGAGTCTTGGCCAAATGCCTTTCCTGAACGGATTGCTATCTGGACACTTCAAACATGCTTCAACACAGCAATCATAGCAAGTCACGTAAAACCACATTCAATGTAATTTCTGAAACAAACCTCCCAACACAACACAGTACAATGTTTCACGTCTTCGGAAGTTCAGCAAACATGTGTCTATGCATTTGAGTTGATTATACGTGTGTATATATACATATGTGTACGTGTGTGTGAGTGTGTGTGTGAATTCGTGTATGTGTGTGCGCACTTACAAATACACACACACACACACCCACAAAACATTCAAACTAGCGCGCGCACACGTAAGCACACACGCACGCACGCAAACACACACCACACGCAAGCAGACACACGCATATTGGCGTATCAGTAGGAATATAAACACAAGTAGCAAGCAGCACAAACGTAATAACACCAATTACTATTAGCTGGAGATTAATAAAAACAACAAACTCTCTGGAACATTAGCGGAATTAAATAACGAATCCGTTCAAGTGCTGCGTGATGATGAGCTTTCATGTCGTTGTGTGTGTGCACGTGTGTGCTTATCTCTTCTCATCTCTTCATCCAACTCAATGCTTCTAATTGAATAGTCTTCCAAACAATACAATAAGTTGATATATTGATAGAAATCCAGTAAGAAGTAATTAAGCTCTCATTTAGGAACCCTCCTGAAAAACATCAGTGGAAGATAAAAATATTAACAAAGATTTTTATAAAAAAAGTTTTTAATTTATTTCAAATTTGTTAGCATTTTGGAATCAATAATTTTTGGTATTCATAGATACAATGTGATTATGATTTAAAAGTGACTTGTGATTAAAGCCAACACGGAAGGGATTCAAGCAGTGGTGAATTTTGAAGCAATATGAACTGACATGCATGCATAGGAGCGCCCACATTTACGCCATCATTAACCCCAACCTTCATCGTTATTAAGATTGCTGACATTAACTAACAGAATCATCTCTTTATTGTCAACAATTTACGTCATCACATCATCACATCGTCACATCATCCACATCGTACCTATATACACGCAAGCACACACACACATCCACACATACACACACACACACACACACACACATACACACACTTACACATCCACACAACCACATCAACAACACCGACATCATCGTCATTCAATAACGACAATCGAAACACATTGAGAGAGCAAAACTCATTAAACGAAAGGCATTATCTCGTTAGCAAATTGAATTGTCGAGTGCTCACGAGGCACCTCTGCACAAACACTGCCACACCAGTCTCATAAGCACACGCACGCACGCACACACACACACACACATACGTGTACATACACATACACACTCACACACACGTACATGCATGTATACACGTGCACACACACACACACACACACACACACACACGTACATGCATAATAATACAGGCAGAAATCGATAGAAACAGTTTAAATATTTTTTCAAATAAAAAATTTTGAAGGCCACATTTGTTATTTTAATAATCCGATAGCTTAATCTGGTGAGTAGATGAGCCACACTTGTTACGGAGGAGGGAGTGACTGATGCGCTGGAGGACGAGTGCACGCATTACGAGAGCCCTCTTGAAAGAGAACGTTGTTTGGTGTCAACAGTCATCATGATGATGATGGTGATTTTGATGATGGTGGTGGTGATGATGATGATGGTGGTGATGATGACGATGATGACTGGTCCGTCGTAACAACGGATGTTCATGCAGATCTGTTTGTTCACGGTGGTATGAGCCATGAAGCTTATGATGAGGAGGAAGAAAAAAAATGATGAAATGAAAAAGATAATGATGGTCGAAATTATGATAAAAAATTACGGTAAAATGGCAAAAATAAGAAATATGTCAACACTTTTGTTTCGCACTTCGAACTTAACTTCGGATATCATAGGCGCTATTTTTTAGAGAAATAGAGAAATATCAATATTATCATTCAACACCACTTATCTTTTAGCTCTTCAAGATTGTTTCAGCATACTATTTGTCGCATCTTCCATCATTATATGAAACAACATTAGTTTTTGAAGCCTGTTCGTTCTCTACTCAACTCTTGTTTAAGCTGTTAGGATTTCAATCAACTGAATTATACAAATATTTATTTATTAATTATTTAAACGTATAAACGTTTAGTAGCGGATCTTGGTGGGTCGAATGGGAGTGGTTTTGAGCTTTATTTGTATTAAAAGTCGTTAGCCAAAAATGTTGGCCCTCCCAGTAAAAATGTAAGCCCCGGTCAACATTGAAACACATGGAAACATTTTCCAAAATTTGAAAAATTTGATAAGATGAGTCCTTCCCGATAAAATTGTCTAGATCCGTCACTGCATACATTTAATAGAGTAATAAATTAATAAATAAAAAACTAACACTGAAACACTTACATGCAATTAATTGAAAAATTTGATAATTATTTTTCAGTTCCATCTGCCCATCCTTCCCTGCCTTTCCATCCCCACCCCTCTTTTGGACTGCCCCCAGATCTGAGTGATGAAAGTTTTGCGAGAAGAAAACAAAGAAGGAATAGGACCACATTCACTCTGCAGCAGGTCTCCATCTGTGTTCCTCACTGGTTGTTGGTGTTCCATTGCACGTTCCTCTTTGTAAATTGTCTGCTTGAAATTACGATTGCATTTTGTACGCTCAACATTTGCTTATGTAAATAAATATATGTATATGTTCGTATGAACAAAAGGAGACAGAAAGAAAGAGAGAGAGACAAAGAGAAAGAGAGAAAGAAAAAGAGAGAAAAAGAGAGAGAGAGAGAAAGAGAGAGAAAGACAAAAAGGAGACAAAAGAGAAAAATGTGATGTTCGTATCAATTTTTTTCCAGTTAGTAAATTTGACCTTCAAGTTAAAGTTTGTTATTTAAGATTTGCCAAAGTTGCAGCTAAAGTTAAAGATAGCTGATTCGGTCAAGTTAAAGTTACAGTTAGTTATTTGTTGCTAATTTCAGTTGAAGTTACTGTTCGACTTATCACAATTTAGGGCCAACTAATCCTTGCATAAAAACGAACAACAAAACTATCCGGCATTGCATTATATGTGGTCATACATCACTTAAAATTTGCATGTTAACATATGAAGCTTTCTACTTAAATTCATAATATTTCATGTTACAAGTTACACAAATGGATGTCGGTTATAACAAGAATTCAATTTTTCAGTCAAGGCTTTCTTTCGATCGGGTTATTATTGATTTACAGAATGAGTTACAGATAAAATAGTTCTTTTATCTGCCAGTTAAAGTTAAATATTTTAGACCATTCATAGTTAAAGTTGCAGTTAACTTTACCAATAACCCAAGTTAAAGTTACAGCTGGAATTGATTGATTGAACACTGATTCGTGTGAGATTTTTTTAGCCTCCTATTTTTGTGTATGCTGCTTTATTATTGTTAGCATGTGCTGTCGTGCGTTGTAATTTCAATCAATTGAATAAAAAATTTCTGTTTTGTATTTATTTTCCATTAATTTCTAGACGGATTTATAATTTGTTCATGCAGCTGGAAGAGCTGGAGAAGGCATTCCTTCAGACCCACTATCCAGACGTTTTTACCAGAGAGGAATTAGCAATGAGAATCAACCTCACTGAAGCCAGAGTGCAGGTTCTATTAATTTTATTTTGTATTTTTACTTCGTTTTTTATTCTACCATTTTGATATTTGTATTGCTGTGTTAATTCGTTGTATGTTCTGTTGCACCAAGCTCTGTATATGAAGAGTTTGCTTTTTAAATTATAAAAAATAAGTTGTGGGGATTATAATTTCAATTATCTTGTTGTTGTTTATCGTTGATAAGAAGTCTTCGCGACAAGAAGTGAGTTAATGTTATTGTAGTTGTTGCCGTCTTGTGCTGCTGAAGTGCTGTTGCTGCTCAAAATAGAGGTCTACTATTTGTTTGTGTTGTTTTTTATGTTGTTTTTGTTGTTGTTGTTATTTATGTTTTTGTTGATTATGTTGTTGTTGTTAATGTTGTTGTCATTTTTAATGTTGTTCGTTCATGTTTTATTGTTATGATGATGTTAAATCTAAGATGAACCGTAAGCACGGATAGGCAAATGTAGTTCGCAAATGGAGATGCAGTAGTTATGACGTCAACAACTGCGTCGTATGTTTCTTGATCTGCTTCCGAGTGTTCTATATATATTTCGAAGGACGCTTTAACTAAAGCAGAAAAATTAATAATAAACATCAAATTTTCAACATATGAACAGATGAAATAGTTATGTCTGATATGCTTCAAATTAATGCACCAATGCATGGATTGAAGATTCAAGACAAACAACTGGGGATTTATTTTCACTCACGCCAACAACGTTACTTGCATCACAAATTGACGCGCAATCATCTTTCTGCTGCAGTTTATTATTGAAACAGATTATTCATTATTCGAAGCATTAGACTGTTAGACAATTACTATGTCTGGAAGCCAATGTTAGACAGATTGTAAAGGATGATGTTGTTGTTGCTTTGATGACTTCTCTGTTTGTGTATGCGTGTGTGTATGTGTGTGTGTGTGTGTGTGTGTGTGTGTGTGTGTGTGCGGTTATATGATATGTGATCATGTGTGTGTGTGTGTGTGTGTGTGTGTGTGTGTCTGTGTGTCTGTGTGTTTGTATGTGTTTGTTGTGTATGATCATGCTAATGTGTGGATTTGTTTGATCATGAGTGTGTGTGTGTTTTTGTATGGGTGAAAATGGTGTCGTCTTTATCATGTGCGTGTTGATCTCGCATTTCATATTATAAATTATTCCAAATAATTTCAGTTTTTATTTAGCAAATAAGTTAATAAGCCAAAGGAATGAATGAATGATGGACAAACATGAGTTAACAAATGATTTAAAGAGCGAGCGAATGAACGAACGAATGAACGAACGAATGAACGAACGAATGAACGAACGAATGAACGAACGAATGAATGAATAAATGATGGATGGATGGAAAAACGAAGCCGGTGCGGACAAAGAAAGTGAGGAAGTTGATAAAATAACATCATCTCCCATGTCGAGGACCAGGTGCTGGAGAAATAATTCAGTAATTAGCTGGCCGTCATCTCCTGCGAGAACACTAAACAAATTTTCAACTTGATAAATTGATTGCGTTCGAGTAGACGCCCTATACAAACATTTCTTTCCGCTTTCTTCCTCGCTTTCCTTCTCTAAATGTTTCCACGTCTTATTTTTTCATTTTCTTTTCGAGATTTAATACACTGAGGTTATGCCGTTAAATAGAAATATATTTTTGAAAATGTCATTAATTTAACAAAAGTGATATTGTTATCCAACCGAAACAAATGAAAAATAATCATCATCTTTCATAAAGAGTTGAATCTTCGAAGCAAAACTCGACCATAAAAATGTTGATTTTGTAACATTTCATTTTCTACAGGCGGGGCATAGGAACTAGGCATCTCCTCTCAACCAACTAACAAACAAATGTCTACTTATTATACACAGTTCCAATAAATAATTTTTTATTTCAGTCGATTGAATGCAAAATTGACAAAAAATTTCCATTGTTTTATGATCTTAAAGGAATAATATTGTAGCTTCATTCAATAACTCAATACGAAATTTTAAAACCCAGAGGAGCAAGTAGCAATTAAATTTGCGATCCACTTGAATGGAACGTGTTGTCATGTTTGGTCCAGAATTTGAATACAAAAAACATGCGGGAACTTCATTTAATTCTTAATTCTTTTCTTATTAATAGTAATACTAATAAGTTTGTAAGGTTTGAAAGTTGGCAAACAACACATGAAAGTTGGCACACACACACACACACACACACACACACACACACACACACACACACACACACACACACACACACACACACACACGCACAACACAATGTCATTGTGAAGCTGGCTCGTGCATGTGTTTCCCATTATGTTAGTTGCGTTACGAGCCTGCCCGTTGATGTTCGTCATTCATGGCTTTGCTGTTTTTAATTTTGTTATTCTAAATTTAACGAACTCTCAGCTGATTTGTAATAAACATCTGAAATGTGGTTTTTGAATGAAATGCGTATTTTCAGTGGCGTGAGTGGTATAACGGTAGCATAGTTGCCTTCCAAGCAATTGATCCGGGTTCGACTCCCGGCTCACGCACTTTTTAAAAAAATTTAGTTTTTTTATGTTTTAAGTTAAATAAGGATTGTTAAATCACAATCTCTATACCTGTTTATCAGCGCCTGACAATGCTTTCAACATTGTTTTGTAGCACCTTGAATAAATATATAGTTTTTCTTCAAATTCAGGACTTATGAATATTATCATCTGTTCTGTGACGTACCTTAATTGTTATATGATGTTTTCATTCACTGAAATCAAATTTTACAATTTAGTTCTCCTCTTCAATCATTCCATTGATGGTCTTTCTTTTCTACATGCCCGAATCAAGTTCCTGTTTCCAACAATTAGCCTCCTGTTAGCCAACCTTCCCGAAACATTCATGACCAAATGTTAACATAAACATTTTTTTTTCCTATATAATTTACTACGACTTTTTACTGCTGCTTCCAGTTCCAAATGCTGTATATCGAGTTGGTGTAGCTGTTAGTTTCGTCTTTTTGATTTAAAGACACAAACACACAAACACACACACACAAACACACACAAACATACTTACAAACAACAACAAACACACCTAGTGATAGGCAGATAATTAAAACTAACGAGCGTTGGTGTTTATTTTCATGATGATGTTTCGCAATCATGTCCTTTTGTTGTAATGCTAATTTCTAAACAATTTGAAAACTTTTCTAGAGTGGAAAGAGAAATTTTATTTTAATAAATTTGAGATATATATAACAAGCAAAAAGTAATATCAATTGTCATTTTAGTAATAAAAATTTTAAATGAATGCTTGAAAATATTTATCAATTTACGCCAAACAAGGTCTGGTTCCAGAACAGAAGAGCAAAATGGAGGAAGAACGAAAGATTTTCAGATGAAGTGAGAGAAGGGGGAGGAGATGCGAATGATGATGAGGATGAAGATGCTCTTGAGATCGACATGAAAGATGAGGAAGCTGATGGCAGGAGAGCAAACGAGGACGCTAATTGTTGTGCTGAAAAAAATTTCAATGAAAACGAGAAATTTGATTTAACGAGTTACGCCAACGACATGAAACAAAGAACAGGCGACCAATTAATAAATGCAGTTGATCTTAAAAATTTGATCGGCAGACAAAATAATAACAGTTTCAGTTTATCCTGTCTGGTTATGAAAAATGAAAAGAAATCTGAAGCAAACGATGAAAATATAAAAGCTGCAGAACAGCACTCTGTAACTACATTGCAGCTGAACACCAAACATACAAAACAAGATGAAGATCCCCAAACTAGCAAATCGTTTAAAAAAATTAACAAGAAAATTACCGACTCATTTGCTGGAAGCCACGAGAACAAGGGTAGAGATGGAAAGAAGCATTGGAGTGTGAAGGTAGAGCAGAACAACGCTGAACTTGACGACCGGCTCGTTCAGCCTGATGCTCAGCTCGCAGACGGCAAAAAAAGTGAAAACAAATCAATGAACGAATTAATTCGCGTAGAACCAGACTGCTTGAAACTACACAATCAACAACGACAGCAGCAACAACAACAACAACAGCAACAACAACAACACGTACATTCACACAACCATCAACCACAACCTCAACAACACATTAACTTCGAACACCGACATCATTTGCTGGAGAAACAAATTCAATTAGGAACGCAACAACTACACCAACAAAAGCAACATCAACAGAAACTACAAAACAACAACAACGACGACGATTTGTTTGCGGACAATAACGATTTTAGCAAAACACAGTCTCAGACACATAACTCGTGTTATTCAGCTGGAAAATCTCACTGCACTCCGCCCATTAATCTCAACGCTGTACATAATGAATCAGTGAACAATGGAGAGCACGACGAGCCAATGAGGAGCTTCCATTCATTTGCTGCGAGCCATCCATTGGTTGAAGTTTTGAATAGTTTCGTTAAGATGAGGTCTTCGGCGTTCTTCAGCAAAATGAACTTGTACGTTTCTCTTTTTTTCACTTTTAAATTTAATTTGCTACTTCAAATATGAAACTATGGTGCAGTTGTATAAATAAACCAAATACATGAATGCTACCAATGAAAAGTACTCGCTCGAGCAGTTAAAAGTCGTTTAAAAATAAATAAATAAATTTTGTTTGATTGGTTAATTAATAATTTTTAATTTGTAACAATAATCTCGAGGTTAATAATCTTTCCTATTTTTCATTTCAATTGAAGCAAGTTTCTTGCCAATTTAGCAGATTGTTTCATAACAATTTCATTTCTGAAATACACACACATCTCATTCAATGGACCTTCACTCAATACCGTCCCCACCATTTTTTAAACTATGTTTCTACTTGCAGCTACAATTTACTGTTACTCTTTTGACCCTCACAGTGCTGTTCATACTCTGCCACCAACTCAAATATCTCTTTTTGACGGACTTTTAACTGCTTGAGAAGGTACAGTTTTTATTAACATAAATCACACCACTCATCCAATGTAACCATGCAATAGCCCCGTGCACCCCACCTGACACCACCAATGCATCTCCCATACGCTTCACATCATCCATGAAGCAATTCATTAAACTAGCTGTGTAAATATTCATTTAACTTGTGACATGGGCAACAGAATTATTATTGTGTCACAAACAAATTGATGGTCCAATGTAGTGGTTTATCGAATGCGCATGCATGTTGGTGATTATGCTATGGCAAGAAATTGAAAAGTATCCATTTTATTAAAATTTTATCGTCAACTGATTGTTACGCAGCACTAACTTGTAGCAGTGCGAGAACCGCATGCAGCATTCCCATGTCAAAACTTCAACAGCAATATTCAAGTTTTCAGTGACTTGAAATGAGAATAACTTTTTAAGTCGTTTGTATTTGCTCGAAGCATCAGGTATCATTATCCATATGTTCCCAACTAATGTTTCGCAATAATGTTATCCTCAAAGATCTGAGCACAACTGACTGATGTTTGCTGGCATTTATATCTAAAGTTAATAATTGTTTTGTTTTTATTAATGTCTTAAATTTTTTTATTAATGTCTTAATGTTTATGTTATTATTTTTAATCTTTTTTATCATTAGAATTATTGATGTTCCTGTTGTAATTTTATCACATCACTTACACAATTCTCATTCAACTTTGATCTCCAGGGGCTCCTCTCCAGTGGCTGATCATCATCCTGTTTTCATGAAGCCCTTAACTCAACACGGTAGACATTAAATAGATTTTAATAATAATAATAAATTTTCAAAAATTTCGTGAAGCCTTAATAAAATGAAAAAATATACATTAAAAAATTCAAATAAATGGTCAGCTCAGCCATAATTACTCTTCGTTCAAACATGAGTACAATGATGACAGGTAGCTTCAGCTTGTGAAGTTGCTTCATGCATTGTTTCTTTCACAATATATCGCATAGGATAAAACTATCTCGCTGTTAATTAAGCTATCACAAAATTAAGTCCAACCAAGTCAACTATATTGAAACGATTGTAGAAACCTTTTAGGTGGTATTTCAAAAAAATTATTTGATCAGCTATTTGTTACGATTGCCATAGCGTCAAAAAACTGGAGCCAGGCTCTCGAACACAGACTGGCATCTGCACTGCTGGTATTATTTTTGTTGAAACATTTTCATTGAGTTAGCTCAGTCGGTAGAAGAGCCATGTCTCGTGCAGTTACGCAATAGTCTGGTTCGAATACTTATGGTCGAAACTCAAAGACTATCATACCCCATGCGCGTATAATGCGGTGTTTGCGCGTGCAAAAATAATGTGTATGTACGTCGTTTGGTGTGGATGGTACAGTCATTGTGGTACGGAGGTTTAAATACAGGAATTATAAGTAAGCGGCTCTGCGTATTGTAGATTATAATTGTCAGACTTTTCCACCAGTATGCAGGGATTGAGGATGGTTCCCAACATTCGACCAACAGCAGATGAAGAGTTGTAAAAAGTATGGGGCACTTTTCAGATAATTATCGATATTTGGTCCAATTGACAACGAATATGCTCTCGACTTGCATTTTCGGATAATTGTTAAAATTTTGTTGCTTGTTTGGGATCGACACAGCACGGAAATAAGGGTTTTGGTTAAGTTTGCACTTAAATTGGCTGACAAAATTTAAAGTGGCGTTCATAATTTTAAGTTTTTTGAACGTTTTTTTAACATTCTGTCACGTTGAACATGGGTAGCAAACTATTTCTTGGGTTAAATAAATTTTTGTCCTTAGTTCAAAACTTCAAATAATTTAGTGTTTAAATTTAAATAATTTTTAATGCTTTGGAAGAAGATATTTTTTAACTTCTCAATTTACGTTTGAGCATTTGTTTGAATGTCGAAATTATGATCGCCACGACCTATTGTTTTAAGTTGCTTAAACTCCTTTTTGTTTATTGATTGACTTGTTATGTTCTAACGTTGAAATTGTTTTTGGTTTCAACGTCCCATAATTCCTGGCAAAGTCATATTTACGTAATGCAGGTGTCGTAGATTTGTGATGAACTTTGGGCCTTTTTTTGAGCCTTTTCAAGAAAAAATTGTTTCGTTTTTTTTTTGAGATAAGATCACCAAAAGTGTACGCAAGGGTCCAAGTGTGTCTCACGGACGATTTGTACACCTTGTTGTTACAGATTTTTTCCGCTCGAAATTGTTCTTTTATTAGTTCCTAGCATTGGATTGGCTCTTTAGCAGGCCACGAGTTACATTTCTCCAATTTGAGAAATTACTCCCGTACGACCACTTTTTGTCCCATTTTGCGATTTATGAATTTTCGCAGATCGGTTTTTCTTTCGTCAGACGGCACAAAATTTGCAGCTCCAATTTTTTAGCTCTATTATCATTTGAGACAAAAATAACTCAATTTTAATCACTTTAATATTATATTAGTGATGTGATTATTTTTCGAAATGATATTTACATTCAGAACTATCGTTTGTTGCAATGAACTTAAGTCGATATTTTGAAACCGACACCACATTAGGAAACGGATTGTGTTACTGCTGCCATCCCGGCTTGCAACACCTCCTCAGGACTTCATTTGATACTCGCAATGACAAATATTCCACCCACGACCACAACATTGCCATCACTAACAACAACAACAGTTTTACTACCAACATCAACAATCACATCAGCAACAACTGCGTCAACAATTACAACGGCAGCGCTACTAGCAGTAAATTGAATTTAGAATCGATGATGGGCGATGTTGTGTCCAAGAATTTATCTGGAAAGCCTCTTGGAAGTGTAATGGATTACGAGTTAATTGTTTATAAAAACATGGTGCAGAATGATGGCGAGGATAATGATGATCGCATCGGAGAAGTTAACAACCCAACCACCACAGCAGACAATGATATCGAAGCCAGCGCAACTCCGAATATTAAAAAATTTGGTTCGAAGTATGAGAATTTTAACCAGATCAAAACCGTTGAAAATAAAATTAGTGACTGTAACATCCATGCATCAAATGTTGCTAACACAAAACAGTATGACAGCAATAACAATAACAACAACAACCACAGCATCAGCAGCAGCAACAACAACAACATCTCAAACCATAAAAACGTGTCGAACTTAAAGAACGGGACAACATCAATCGAAAACACTCTACATAGCAACAACTCGAATATCAACAAAACATCAACTTGCCAAATGGTATCACACAACAGCATCAACAACGGTGTGAATGTAGAGAGAGAAACATCAAACGTTGGTGGACTTCGTGACATGAACGAAGATGTCGTCAGCAATGACGTCACTGGCAGCGTCAGTGCTCATGGTAATGTTTCAGGTCCTAACGATGATGAAAATGATAATAAAAATGATCCAGACGATGATCGTTCGTCATCATCTCACTATTCAAATTGCCACAAACAAATTAAATGCGATGATAACATTAACAAAGGGGCTGTTGAAGGCAATGTTGAGAAAAATGAGTGCAGTTATTTCCAAGACAGCCAAACTCGTGTCGGTCGAACAACTTTTGGTGAACAATGTTTACCTGATGAAACGGAAGTAGGAGACGAGCAATCAAACAGCCAATCAAATGTCGGGTGCCGGGTGGAAAAGATGTGCTGTGGCTTGAGACCTATGCCCTGTTCCAATCATAATAACTCCGATTTGCTTGCCTACACATATCTCAATCACATTCTACAACAACAAACAACTCAACAACTCCCATACAAACATTTGACTTCACACCGAGTCAATTATCAACAACATCGGCACCAACAATACCAGCTACAACAACAACTTAATTATCAATTTCAACATCAACAACAACAACAACAGCATCAACAACAACATCAAAGGCAACAACTACAACATAAACAACAACAGCAGCAGCAACAACAAAATACAACATCTAAATCTACAGGATCAACAAGTTTCAACGTATCCAGATTGTTATCCATTGATGAATGAATGAATTAAACATTGAGAATGAATGAATGAATAAATAAATTAATTAATTAATCAACACTGATGATAAACAAGCGAATTTTTTATAGCATTTGAAATTTTATATTTTTGACATAAGTTTGTTACATAAGTTCACTAACTTTGGAAATATAAAATAAATGATTTTGTTGCGACCAGTCAACCTTCCCGCCAAACCGGTGCGAGAAAAAAGTAAAATATCTGAATGATCTACATGCTGCAGACTTTCATTTCATTTCAAACTGGAAAGATTTTTAAATGTTTAAAATTAATTACGTCAAGTTGAATCAAGTTATTAAAAAGTTTTTCAACTCAACCTCATTCCTTCGAGGACCAAACACTTTTCACTAATTTTAAATCGAGAAGACGTTTAAAATATTTTCAAAAATTTTCCAAACATTCAAATACTTTTAGCTTTTTTGACCGAGTTTATTTAATCGTGAAAAAAAGAGCATTTATTTTGAATGATTGTAACATAACCATTTTCAGCATAATCCATCAGACTTACCTGACTTAAATAATTTTAAAAAGATGTCCACACTCTGCATTTATTGAAGTGCATTTGAATGTTTTAATTTGGATTATTAGATGGTCATGTTTATACTAACAATCTTTACCACAAAACTTACACTAGCCACATCAATTGCACACTAACCAACTTAGATATATTTCACACATTCCCAATACTGTGCTTTCAAAAAATTGAGAAGTTTTACGATGATGATGATGACGTTGATGGTGAGGACGATGATGATAATTTGGGGAGGATGATGACGGTGGTGGCGGTAATGATGATGATGGTGACGATATAAATGACAGATGATAACAAGACGATTAAAATGTTGTTTCTTGATAAGATGGCGTTTTATTTCGAAAGATGGCTTTGCATGTGTTATAATAATAATGATGTTTCCATTTATATATATTTGATTTTTTTATGCTCATGATCATGATTTGTTTCATTATTTATTGAATAATGTAAAATAAATTATAATCTTCTATTTGCTAATAAAATCATTAAAATATTGCTTCAGAATATTATTTTCATGGAACATGAAAACTCTACAAAATTTGTTTGCAGAGATTTCAAGTTGTAAAAACTGCTCAGAAGTTCAATAAGCTCCTTCATGCTTCTTCATGTAACTGCAGTTTTTTTTTTTTTTTTTATAAAAATGTGTTAGATGAATGGTTTCCGATGTTTTCACTGTAGAATATAAACGAAAACACAAGACCCACCAAATCAGATATATAAAATAAGAACTGAGTCCTGTGAAACACCTGTTGACACCTTCCCGACAGAAATGATTGGAAGCTAGTTCGTGAACTAGCTTCCAATTGCCAATTCCAATTGCCAAAATCAAACTTCATCTCTCCTGGCCTGAGTTAGCTCATATTCATCACGTACCATTAGAATGTACATTTCACGCATAAGCAAGTAAAGACATCGGCCTACAGCCAGGAGTTGTTCGTGCATAACTATTACAATTATTATTAATTTTGTTATTATGATTGCGTCAGACGTTGCAGCTGCCACTACTGTCGTGAACATCAGCCACGTTGAAGATCATTAATTCCAATCACGCACATTCCTTGCATTCACGTTATTATAACCAGATTTTAAAGTTGCCACTATGTCGTAAGAAGCACAATAAGGGAAGATTTAATTTTTTGGAATATCAATTTGAAAGTACAAATATTGAAAAAAAATTGTAAACTATTTTTTAAAATGGCGCAAAGCAACATGAAACAGATCAAATTATAAAATTTTTTTTTTTATTTCGGCGGGGGTTGTTTGAACCATGAAGCCCCTCCCAGTCAGCATAATGGCACAAAAGCACAAGGGTTTGCTAGCGAGCGAATGTAGTTGACGAATGTTTGCACGGGGCTCTGAATGACGTGCACTTGAATAATATATGAGCAGCTTTAATGAAATTTAATAAACATTGTAAATTATTAAAATATAAAACAACGTTAAATGCGTCTAGAAGGTTTTCAGCGTCTCTTCTGACACATCCCCACCCTAGTCTTGTTTGCAGCGAGGCATTTTTTTCTAATGTATTTTTGCCAACTGAAATATTTTTCGAATGCCTAAAAACCTTAAAATGAAATATTGAAATGCGATGAAAGAAAATACTAATTTGCATGATTTGACCGGCCATATGAAGCGTGCAAATTTCTAAATAAGAGTAAGTAAAGGTTTCTATATGTAACAGCAGTAAAAAATCATTTTAAATTTACCAGGACATTCGAAAAGCGTTAAAAAAACACGAAATAATATTTTCCGTTCATGCACTATACTTTAATTTGTTTGTGGACACTGAAATAACGTGTTTTCTCTCGGATGACAAAACCAACGACGGAAGTTATTAAAAAAGTTAACAGCTGAAACAGATTTTAATATTTGCGATTCTTGTTAATTAAGATCGACAAGAACATCTAACAACAAAAATATCGACCACTTCTATGCTCTGCTACTCTGCTACATCAGACCTCAAATGTTGACAAATAATTGAGTGAAAGTTTCCTTCATGGAACCAGGTGAATCCCACTCCGATTGAGTCTGCGCCAGCCCTGCATCTTCTACTGTCCAAATATTTGTCATCTCTCCTGGTAGGTCAGTTGGAATCGAAATATTTTCAAATCTCAAAACATGGCCAGGGTACGCGCGAGGTTTGGCTAACTTCGGTTTTATTATATAAATGAAATAAAATGTTTTTCAATTTTTAAGTTTCAATGAAACGTTGCGGAATATTTAATCAGCGTGTTTACTTTTATAAGTGAGAGCAAAATCATTTTCCAGAAAAAAGATAGGCTGGAGTGGAATGTCTGAATTTCTGACAAATATTTTCAAAACTGACAAAGCCAACGGCTTTTTTACTGTCAGCACTTAAATTGTAATACAACTGTCGCTATGAATGCATTGATGTATCGTCACTGATGAGTTAGTAGTACACCAATGGGGCCATCTCCTAAATATCACGTTCAAACAGACCAGTCAGTCATTAGAAGGGGGGGAGTGAATAACAAACATCATGCAGACGAAAATAAATAAAGAAAAATAAATTTTGAACTAATGATGTTGATATTATTAGGGTGATGATGATGATGGTGGTAATGGTGATGATGATGGTAGTGATGATGATGATGGTGGTGATGATGATGATGACTGATATGATGATGGCGATGCAAATTCAATCTGATCTCATGTAGCACACTTTCATTGAATAATTGAAAAGCCGTTAACATCAGCAGCAGTCTGTTAGTATGGTGTGTGTGTGTCGAGTGTGATGTGTGGTGTGTGTGTGTCGTTGTGTGATGTGTGTGGTGTTTGTTTGTGTGTGTGTATGTGTGCGTGCAAGGTCGTAGCTAGGTGGGGGGGGCGAAAAAAATTACATTGATGATTTATGTAACACAAATTTTAAATTAATACATTCATTGCATATTAACTGTTTGTTTTTTTTTTGCTAAATGTAAATGCAATTTGATAAAAGTAGTTTGTGTTTTAATTAAATTTCATGGACTAACCTACAATTTGTCAAAATTAGAGCAGACTGTGTATCTAAATATGGTAACTTCAATGCAGGCAGGGGTAGAAGATGTGACCCAAGTCAAGAAGTACTTCATAACTGCCGAGAAAATGGAGATGGAGAACTGAAAACATCAGAAAACAAATTAAATGGTGAACGATCATTGTGAACAGAAAAACGGAAAATGAGAATAGGCCAAAAACAGCCAGTGAGGCATTGGCGGGATGCAATTCCGACCTAATCCCAAATATCCAGGCACTGTTGTTAATTAATCCCAAATATCCAGGCACTGTTGTTAATTAATCCCAAATATCCAGGCACTGTTGTTAATTAATCCCAAATATCCAGGCACTGTTGTTAATTAATCCCAAATATCCAGGCACTGTTGTTAATTAATCCCAAATATCCAGGCACTGTTGTTAATTAATCCCAAATATCCAGGCACTGTTGTTAATTAATCCCAAATATCCAGGCACTGTTGTTAATTAATCCCAAATATCCAGGCACTGTTGTTAATTAATCCCAAATATCCAGGCACTGTTGTTAATTAATCCCAAATATCCAGGCACTGTTGTTAATTAATCCCAAATATCCAGGCACTGTTGTTAATTATGGCGGTGCCACTAGCATCAAAGTCAACAGATGAAAGACGATATCCTACTCTGAAAGGAGAAATGAATTAAAAAGTTTTTTTAAAGAAATAGCTCTAATGAGGAACGATTCACTTCATTGGCACTGTTACTTATCCATCGGGATGATATATATCTATCCATCGGGATGATATATCTATCCATCGAAATGATTTATCTATCCATCGGGATGATATATCTTTCCAAGTGGACAATGACCTGATTTTGGACCATTAAAACCAAAAAGCACGTTGCTTTTATATATTTAAAAAATTAATGAAATGCTTTTTTTTGTATAATTTTGTTGGATATGTTTATTTTTTATAAATAAAAGCTGTTCGATTAGATTAAATGTTCGATTCATATTTATTTTCTTGATTTAATTAAAAAAAAAGTATTCTGAAAGTCCTTCCCAAAAAAAATCCTGGCTACGGTTTTGTGTGTGCGCGCGTGTGTGTGTGTGTGTGACTGTGTTGTGGGGGATGATATAGGGTGTTGCGTGGTATGTATGATGAGTTGGGTGTGATGTGTGGTTTGTAGCGGTATCGTGCGGTATCTTACAAACAATTATTATTTATTTCCCGACTAAATTGCAGACGATTATTACATGTTGATAATAAACGCGTTGCAAATAATGAAGCAAAGCTGAAACTGCACGAACTGAGACGCAACATCAACTGAGACGCAACATCAACTGAGACGCAACATCAACATAAACTGAGACGTAACATCAACTGAGACGCAACATCAACTGAGACTCAAAATCAACTTCAATGTTATGTCGTGCTGAGAAGCAAAAAATTGTTTTTTAATTTTGAAATAATTGTTTATTATTAATTAATCTATGACCGGTTAATGCTTACCGATGTGATTTACTGTGATTATTTTTACAGTTACGATGATGATGACGATGATGACGATTACAGGCTTTGACTATGTCGATGATGAGTATGACGATGACGATGATGAAGAAATTATGTTAGTCATAATTGAGCAGTTGCAGATGTTGATCGCCGGCGAAAATAAATTGAATTAAAATCATTTGCATGCATAATTTTAAAATTTAAAACACTCCCACATTCAATCTTTCAACATGTTTTCATTGAAAAATTCAAGTTTTTTAGTAAATCCGCATGTGCTTTGTGCATGTATGTTAGTGAATGCGTGTGTGTGTGTGTGGGTGCGTGTGGTTCTCTTTATGTGTGTGCCCTGGTTTGTGCAAATGTGAACGAACAAAAATATGTGGATGAGTGCATTTGTATATATGTGCATGTTCATATAAGTGCATGTGTATAAAAACATGTGTATAATTGCACGTGCAAATAAGTGTATGTGTACTGTACAGAAGTGCACGCGTACAACGCGAGTACATGTTCACATAAGTGCATGTGTAGCTTTTAGAGCATATGACGCGCAAATTGTGTCTGTGATTGAACCAGCCTCCGAAAGAACAAATTTGGTTTTTGTCAAAAATCATTACTTAGCTGCCGCAAAGAGGAGTAGTAATTCAATTGCTTGACAGCTGAGCTTCAGTTTACGCTTTGTTTGTTCGTTTGTTTGCTCGTACATTTTTCTGTTTGTTTGTATGTTTGATTGTACGCTCGTTTGTTTGTTTGTTCGTTTGTCTGTTTGTTTGTACGCTTGCTTGTTTTTTGTGTTTTTAATATTTTTTTTATTTTGTACTCTAAATTTTCAATTACAATAATTATTGAGAAGCGTGTTTTAATATTTAAGCAACTTTTCTTCAGCTTGCGCCGTCATGGTGTGATTATTTGTTTGCCGTTGTTGGCAAGTTTTGCATGCTTGTTGCAGTTCCAATGCATTCTATCTTGCGTTCTATCTACATGTAATTATTGAACATTTTCTTCAAAAAATAAAAACACGCTTCACAAAGCATTGAAATGTTAATTACATTGTTGCCAATGATGTCTCACCAGCGTGCCTCCAACGTGTCAGGAGGTCTTCCGTGAGATCCATTGAGAACCCAACGCCAAGTTAACGTAAATATTATTTGAGTTTTAGAAAGAATGAACAAGCAGAAGGTTTAAAACAGAACATCGAAACATGTGAAAACAAAAAGTCTTCGTTTATATTTTATAAAATGTATGCCTATATATTTATTTATAATGAGTGAACGAATGAATAGCAAACAAACAAATGATTGAATGAACGAATGAACGAACGAACGAGCAAACGAACAAACGAACAAACGAACGAACGAACGAGCAAACGAACAAGCAAGAAAATGAAAGATGAATGAGCAGGTTATTGGATGACTTAAATAGAGTTGAGTGCTTGATTGAGGAAAAATTGAATTGCTTCCAATCAAGGCTTATATGCGATTGTGCTGGCTGGATGATGACGAAGATGAACATGATGATGGTGAAGTCGTTAGAAGAGGAGTGAGGATGGCGGTGATGACGACGAGGACGATGATGATGATGATGTCGATGATGATGATGATGATGACGTATGAAGAGAATGGTGATGATGATTATGACAATAGAGGTATTGGGATATTTTAAATAAAGAAGTATAACATGATGCCTATATATTGATAAATGATAAACTCTCAAAAAAAATTGACAAAATAAAAACTTATAAAGACTCGGGGTGCGACGAGCGTAAAGTTTAGGACTCGTGGGTGGTTAATTTTCAGGTTAACATTTTCAAAAGTCAACAAAACATTTCAAATATATTACAAACAGTAATGTATCAAATTTCCTATAAGGCAGTCAATCATCTTTAATATCACATTTAACAAATACATACCGTTATTAAACAACTACGTGAATAACAAAGTTTTATTTGTATTTTTTGCTGAAATTTTTTAAAAATGTAATTGAAATAGATGAGCGGCTCATAAAAATGTTATAAAACACCACAAAATAAAAAACCTATATTTTTTTACAACGTAGAATGTGTTTGGCAAGCTAGACTACGAAATATACAATACAAAATAAGGGATCTCTGAATTCAATAAACTGATTGACGATGATTTTGATTCATTTCAAATTGTGTTCTTGTAACGAGAAATGTTGAACGTTCAAACATCGTGTACCACTTCGTACATAAAAATATTTTTTGTGATAAAAACTGGAAAGACTGACGGAACTGATGTCTTTTTATTTCAGTAAAGGTTCTAAATTGATATGACGATGTTGCGTAACAGTAAACATTTTTTGATGGTTTAAATTTTGAATTGTTGAAACTTATGAAATGAAGCCAAAACGAAGCACAAATTTTTTTATGAACATCTCAGTAGAAAGAATATACTAGCTGAACTATTAAGAACTGCAAAATTACGACAAACGCAAGACAAAACTATTTAATTTTCTAAACAGTTGAAGCAACTTCTCGATAGAACAAAAAACGCCAACACTGACGTGAGATATCATGATCACTAAAAACGCTACAAACTGCATGCGCCAAGCAGCCTCAAAAGTAAAGACAGAATCGACATGTAAGCGACATTCAGCGGAGCAATCACGATCTAACGCGCCGCACATGCCAACTACCCGCAACTACATTTGCGCCTGCGACGATGTTAAGTGCATGATAAATTTGCTCAATTTTGACGGGCGCGAGAAAAGTTAATTTAGTGGCGTCAAAGGCGTCAGGATGTTTTGACTTCCGCTCGTTGCCGCGTGTTCATTCGTACACTCGCTTGCTCTGTTCGTTTAATGAATGGCATGCAGCTTGTTCATCTGTGTCATTGCTTCGTCGTCGTCATCGTGCCAATCATCATCGTCGTCGTCATCATCAACAACCACGCCAGCGTCATCATCTGAGGTAATAATTCATGTTAGTTGTATTCGTAAGATGCATTATTCAAACTTTTAAACCATTACAATTAATAAACTTTGTATATATTTTAAAACCATTTCTGACTTTTTTTTAAAAAATCTTTCACTAATTCTCGGAGCATCACTTCCTTTATTATGTTTTTAGTATTTTTTCATTCTGTTTCTGATCCAACTAAAAAATTCACACAAACACATGTGTGGCGTCTGCGTTTATGTGAAGTGCGTACTCCACATAAACACAAAACACATGTACGCACACACACACACACGCACACACACACACACACACATGAGCACACACCGACATAAACAAACACACATGTACACTCCCACACATGCACACACAGATACTCACACAAACACACTTAGCATAAGAACACACTCGTACACACACACACAAACACACACACAAACACACAAAGACACTCACACAACACACACACAGAAATACTCACACAAATCCTCTCACACACACAAAAAGAGATACTCAGACACACACGCAGAAGTACTCACACAAATTCTCACGCACGCACACAATACACACACAACACACACACAGAGAGATACTCACACAACACACACACACACACACACACAGATACTCACACAACACACACACACACACACAAAGAGATACTCACACAAACCCTCACACACACACACACACACACACACACACACACACACACACACACACACAAACACAAGTGCATGGAACGGCATAAATTTGAGCGCGAAGAGAAGGAAGGCGACTTGAAGAATAATGAAATATATTCATGGAGTGGAGGCAGTGCCACCTAGAGACGACTATTTGCAATTGTTGACGTTGTAAAATGATTCTCAGCAAATCATCTTTTAATTGAAAGTGACTTCTGCTGGGACCTTAGCGTTATATTCTCTTCCTTTCAACAAATTTTCTAGCAAGTCTTTGTGTTTAGTGCATAATGTAAGCGTTCGTAACGCGGGTATAAAATTTTCAATGTTTTTAAGATTTTGGATTGGGAATCATTTTTAGAGAAAAGCATTTATAAATGAAAAAGCTATGAGTTGTAAATTAAGAATCAAAATTTATAATATTTTATCGATTCTATCAAATAATAATTTGAATCCAAAATAAATATCCAATTTGAAACGTTAGAAAATGGAGCATTAAAAACCCACCAACAAAACAAACCTGACGAAACGTAACACAAACAAAAGTTATTGAGATCATTTGAAACTCAAGAGTAAAAGATTCTACTACCCGCCCCACCATCTTCACCAACATCCACACCAACATCATTACGTTCCTTGCAGATCATCATCGGTCAAATAACTTAGTTGAATATTGAAGACTCACCTGCTAACCATAACATCATGATAGGAAACTCCATGTGCTTCAAAATATGAAAACCAAAAAATTTGAAATTATTTAGTCTCAATTTTATTAACGATTTTTAGCTTGCTTTAATCAAAATTGAAATTTTTATGCAAATAGAAACTGAAACGCAAAATAAAATCGAAGAGATTCTTTAGAAAATGTTTGAAACAAACATACATGGTGGAAACACATTTGAAGATGGAAACACATTTAAGGATGGAAACACACTCCACGGAAACGCATTTGGAGGTAGCAAATTGACGATAAACACAAACGGGAGGATAATTTAATATTTATTATTCGACATCTATTGAATTAGCAGCGACTTAAATTATTGAAGGAGGGCATCTGATAGATATCAAGTGACGTCACAGAATAGGGATGGGCGTAATTCGAATCAATTATTCCCGAATATTTGGTAAGAAGTTTTGGAGTTCACTTTTTACGGCTGGCTTCAATTTTCTTTTAATATCGGGCTGAAGAGTTTGAAATTGACGATGATAATTTTTGAATAGTTAATATGGAGATGTTTTAATTCAAATAAACTCGTTCACAGAGGGAAATAGCTTACTTAAAAAGGTATCATGTAATAATTTTTTTCTGAAATATGATGTCAAAGCAACAAAAATAACAATTCGATGCATTTGTAACTTTCATAGCTTTTACTTTTCTTACCACTACGAAAAACAAAATTCGTTCATGGCGTTGACAGGTAGGAAGTTTCTGTGGTTGGTGCTTGGGTGGATTTTTGTAAAAAGTTGACAACCAACGTTAAAAGTGACCCAACTTGTTAGATTTGTTACGTGTTAAGTCGCGGCACAGCCAGCCCACAGCAACAACACGAGGGATCATCATCAACGGCTTCTCTGATGGACAAAAAAAGGAACTCAGTTGGAGTAACAAAAATCATTTTTTCAATTTTAAACAAATAATAAAATTTTATTCATATGCAAACAATGAGATTTCCACAAGCACAATAAACAGGTGTGCAGTTGGAAGCAACTAATTTGTTTTACGTTGTGGTGCATACACAGGGACCAACACGCAGTGCAATGGTTACGCGCCACAAACAAAAAAAAATACAAATTGTCAGAAACAAACATACAACCAAACAATCAATCACAATCACA